AACAGGAAACTTGGAAATGGCAGAGATGCTTAATGATTTCTTTGTTCCGGTCTTCACCAAGAAGTCTGCTGAAGGAATGGCCAACATAGTGAATGCTAGTGGGAAGGGGGTAGGCTAAGAAGATAAAATAAAAAAAGAACAAGATAAAAATCACTTAGAAATAATAGATGTCTGCAAGTCACCAATGCCTGATGGAATGCATCCTAGAATACTTAAGGAGCTGAGAGAGGAGGTATCTGAGCCTTTAGCTATCATCTTTGGAAAATCATGGAATACAGGATAGATTCCAGAAGATTGGAAAAGGGGAAATATAGTGCCCATCTATAAAAAGGGAAATAAAAACAACCCAGGAAACTATAGACCAGTCAGTTTAACTTATGTGCCTGGAAAGATAATGGAGAAAGTCATAAAGGAAATCATCGGCAAACACTTGGAAGATAATAAGGTGATAGGAAACAGCCAGCATGGATTTGTAAAGAACAAATCATGTCAAACCAACCTGTAGCTTTCTTGATAGGATAACGAGTCTTGTGGATAAGAGAGAAGCAATGGATGTGGTATACCTAGACTTTAGTAAGGCATTTGATACGGTCTCGCATGATATTCTTATCAATAAACTAGGCAAATACAACTTAGATGGGGCTACTATAAGGTGGGTGCATAGCTGGTTGGATAACCGTTCCCAGAGAGTAGTTATTAACGGATCACAATCCTGCTGGAAAGGAGTAACAAGTGGGGTTCCGCAGGGGTCTGTTTTGGGACCGGTTCTGTTTAATATCTTCATCAGCGATTTAGACATTGGCATGCAGAGTACGCTTATTACGTTTGCAGATGACACCAAGCTGGGAGGGATTGCGACTGCTCTGGAGGATAGGGTCATAATTCAAAATGATCTGGACAAATTGCAGAAATGGTCTGAAGTAAACAGGATGAAGTTTAATAAAGACAAATGTAAACTGCTCCTCTTAGGAAGGAACAATCAGTTTCACACATACAGAATGGGAAGCGACTGTCTAGGAAGGAGTACAGCAGAAAGGGATCTAGGGGTCATAGTGGACCACAAGCTAAATATATGTCAACAGTGTGACGCTGTTGCAAAAAAGCCAACATGATTCTAGGGCACATTAACAGGAGTGTTGTGAGCAAGACACAAGAAGTCATTCTTCCACTCCACTCTGCACTGATTAGGCCTCAGCTGGAGTATTGTGTCCAGTTCCGGGCGCTGCATTTGAAGAAAGATGTGGAGAAATTGGAGAGGGTCCAGAGAAGAGCAACAAGAATGATTAAAGGTCTAGAGAACATGACCTATGAAGGAAGACTGAGAGAACTGGGCTTGTTTAGTTTGGAAAAGAGAAGATTGAGAGAAGACATGATAGTGGTTTTCAGGTATCTAAAAGGGTGTCACAAGGAGGAGGGAGAAAACTTGTTCTTCCTGGCCTCTGAGAATAGAAGCAGCAGCAATGGGCTTAAACTGCAGCAAGGGAGGTTTAGGTTGGACGTTAGGAAAAAGTTCCTGTCAGGGTGGTTAAACTCTGGAATAAATTGCTTCGGGTGGTTGTGGAATCTCCATCTCTGGAGATATTTAAGAGCAAGTTATATCAATGTCTATCAGGGATGGTCTAGGTGGTACTGGGTCCTGCCATGAAGGCAGGGGACTGGACTTGACCTCTCAAGGTCCCTTCCAGTCCTAGTATTCTATGTTTCTATGTCAGAGACCTGGGGGATCCCAGATGGATCCCCAGAGTGGCAATAGGAGGATCTATTGTATCATAGATGGCCTGGGCTGAGCTCTCAGGGAACATGGGGGAGGGGAGGGGAGCTGGCAGGACAGGGGTATCAAAGGCCTGTGCATTAGGCTGGGGTGACTGGGGTCCCAAGCGGGAGTCTGTAACCCATGGTAGGCGTGCCAGGGGGTTGGGGTACCAGGGGAGGTCTGTATGCCAGGGCAGGGTGCTGAGGTCCCGGGGGTCTGTACTAGGGATGTAATAGTGTAGTTGATGAACCGGTAAGCAAAAGCTTATAGGTTAATGCTACAGATTACACACACTCCTCCCCACCCCTCGCCCACCAGTACATTTTTTAGCAGGCTGGCCAGCAGCCCATCTCATTCCCAGTCCAGGACCTACCCCCGCTGCAGCGCTACATTTTAAGTGTATTAGGCACCAGGCGGGCAGGCAGCCCCGCTCAGTTCTGGCTCACGCTGGGTCCAGGAGCTTAGATCCTCCGCTGGACAGGGCCTGCTGCCACCCTGTACTGCTACCTCTGTATCAGAGGCAACAGCGCAGAGTGGCAGGGGGGCTTCTCGGGAGGGGGGCCGGAGCGCACTGGCTGCCAGCCACGTCCCCGGGGACGATAGAATAGGCAGGTAACTGGTAAGAATTCATGAGGTTAATCGACTATTCAGTTAACTGATATTTAACATCCCTAGCCTTTGGGAGCCTGGTTATGTGCTTGCTCGTGTCACATTGGGCCATTGACTGGGTGCAGTATTTGGGAGGAGCATAGACTGTGCCTGTCCATAGCCCCCAGGGCACTCTGCTGGCAAAGCCCAATTTGACTGCCTGGCCCATAGACACCAGCCCCCGGCACAGGGAGGCTGAGACCTCCAGCAACCGGTGGGGAAGAAATGCTGCGCCGCAGGGCAGGAGTGGCACAGTAGAGC